TGACAATAAGGTTGTAAGGCTACAAAGGTGAGGTAGAGGGCTGTGGATGAACCCAGGCAGCACTGTTCTAATCGCAGAGCGCTAGTACCAAAGAGGATACCCCGCATGTCTTGACTGACTCAGACCGATGAAAATAAAGCGGAACCCGAAGCTGTCACTACCTTTGTAACACATTGCGAACAAACTTCCACTGACTGGGGCACGGGACTGTTGGTAGGGCAAGGTAGTAAAGCAACGAGCGCGCAATGCTTTGCGATTCATAGCGAAGTACAGGAACTACTAATAACGAGCGTCGAATAGGTAAGAAAAACAACAACAGATTGCCGCGCTCACGATTCCTCCACCCCGTTCCTGGAGAAACATATCATCAGCTTATCTTCATCTTCAACGTGCCGCCGTGTCGCATCCCCATCTACTCCTCAGAGTCATCCTCGGTCTCCTCTCCCGCCTCTTGCTCTGTCTGCTCTTCATACAACTCCTCTGTCTCTTCCCAAGTCGACTCCTGAAGCGCCAGCTCCATCCCAGCTGTCAGTTCTTCAATAGCATCAACCAGAAGACTATTTCTATCAACATTTCGGCCTTCGAGAGACGCAGCAGCAGAGTATAGAAAGTAACTGCAGATGTCCTCAAATGCAGTTTCCAAGTAATCCCAGGCCCAATCTCTGACTGCCAGCTGCAAGAATCCGAGTTCTAGTTCTAATCTCAAGCTTCCAACGGCCTTATAGATGTAGTGAGCCGTCGATGTGGAGAGCTTTTGCCGATGAACAATCATAAGCCTCATGTTTCTCTCTACACTATGGATGCCCGCAGCAGTTCGATCGTGCAAGGCACTCCATTCCTGCATAGTGATATGCTGGGACGTGAGCGCCGGACCTGGTCCTGGACGTATTTCGGTGTACAAACTCCATAGCTCATCCTCTTGCATTCGAGGCCGCTTATGAGCAGAGGTAGACGAGTGGCTTCGCTGTCTGGTCCTCTTGGTGCCGTCAGATTTGCCAGTGATTACATCCAGGGGCTGTAAGGCACCGGTAGCCTCGGAAACTTTGGAGAGAGTTTTGATGGGTCGGCTCGGCTGTGGGCTGCGGATCTGACGGTGATCCGAATCATCCCAAGAATAGTCGGCACTGCTAGTCGTAGGCGTATCATTCTGATTATCCGGAACGTCCCCAGAGGAGATGTTGCCATAGGTAGAGTTGGGTTCGAAACAGAGAGGATGCTGGGGGAGCGACATTTTCTTGGATGTCTAACTTCGTTAAGAGTGCTTCAAAAGATAGTTTAAGGATAATAGCGGAAATGATGGCACGCTGATGTGATGGAATGTAGGCGTTCTTGGATGTCTGCCATCTCTAGGAAATCTTCAAATCTTTTTATAGGTTATACAACAAGACTAATTATAGCATCAGAACAGAAACTGTATCCAGAATCGCGTTTCCTGTTAACGGGCACCTGGCTGTATATATGCACTCTCAGCTCCGCTGCAAGCGCTCTCATGTTAGATCTATAAATGGAGAGCCACTTGAGTTTCTCCGCAAGCGCCCGACTCCCCAGCAAAGGCAGCAGTGAGTTGGTCCATTTCACACCCTAAGGAAGACCTGAAGTGATTGGTGATGAGATGTCGGCGGGTTCTTGAGGCATTGATGTCACCTATCCCTGGCGCGCGGCTGGGCGAAGATGAACCACGATTGGACAACGAGAATTGGTAGGGCGCAGTACAGTCCTAAGCCAACTACCGCCTCTGAGAGGTGGTGTGAGGCACTTGGGGTTGAGATATCGATGCGGCACATGCGGCACAGCAACTCCGCTCAAAGTTATGGAGTCGCGCGGTTAGACTGGAGCTGAGATCATTACTGTTTCGGACCAGGGCTAGGTTCTAGAATATCACGAACTATCGCCTTACCTTAAATGGTAAATCCAGCACTGCAACGATGTTCGCACCGTCTATCAAGCATATGACCAACGAATACCAGTGATGTTGCATTGTTGACCTACGCAACACACGCTGCCGGTACTATATCAGAGTCTCGGCAATCTAAGAGAAGCATACAGCCAGGATCATGTGTCATGACGACTCCCTCCAGGCTAGATCTCGCCACAGCTTCCATCGGAGTGACGCCGCACCCCCAAAACACGGGAACATCATGCTCTTCCCCCTCCACATCGCCCAGCGGTCTTTCATCTTGTGTTAATGGCGACTCACCCCAAGTCGGTGCGTCAATATCTTCAATCCCGAGTCTCTTGACCGCATCCCAGCCCCATGCAATAGGTTCGCCATGCGTCGCAGTGTATGCCCTAGTAATTTCTCGCACTCTCTCTACTTCTGAGGCCTTATAAGATCTCATTGAGACCACGTATGTGCTTCCCGTGAAGGCACCAGCGGGACATAGCGGAATGCTCGTCCGGTATATAGGGACATTTCGATTCAGAGTTGTGTGTCGGGGAGGAAGGCCAGCCGCGGTCAGGGCAGACTCAAAGCTGAACGAACATCCAATTAGAAAGGCGACATGATCGTCAGTCCATTCGTCCACTATATCTAGACAACCTTTCTTGATGGGTGTCGAGTCCTTATACACCATGTATCTGGGCACGTCGCGGCGGAGATCACAGTCGGATAGGATAGCTCCTCCATTTAGGCCGGGGATGGTGGACGTCACTGAGTTCCAGCAGCCGGTTGAAGTTGATTCCGCAATTAATGGACATGGTACTGGGTTTCGCGCACAGAGAAGACGAAAGTCGGAAGCGTATCGGGACGGGAGAACAACTAGGTTGGCTTGCAAGAACGTTGGTGCAAGACCTGAGGTTGGAGAGTTAAAGTTGTTGATTCTTGCGGCAACACGAACATCAGCCCCTGTCGTAATTTTCGTGCCTCTATCGGCGCCGGCCTTCGTGATCGAGAATATGGCCATGGTAATTTGGAGCAGAGATGAAGAGAGCGGAGAACAAGGTCGAAAAGAATCTAGATCTTGAACCTAACCAACGATGTTATGTACGTCTTCCTCCTTCGATCGGCTTTTACAGTCTACGAGAAACTTCGGCATTCTATGCTATCTTACCTTCCAATCCTGAGTCGTGAAGCGGTGACGGACTTCCGCCTCCGCTTTCACGTGACTGCGCTTCACAACACTTCTCCACTCAACCCAGCTAATCTCCCCACTTATCTCATAGTTCTCAGTTGCGTACTTCTCGAGTGACTGTGCGCTGGAGATAGTGGGAGAGTGAAAATGATCGATCCCATTGATGATGAAAAGACAGGGATAATAGGCTCTACTTTCACACACCCTTCACCACCCCTTAAAGATACCGAGAAACCCGTACGAGGATGATGAATTGATGGATCTGACAGTACGAAAGCTTAGATTCATAAAAACAATCTTCCTCCGTAATATAAAGTGCTGCCAGGCGTTTCGTAGAAGCTCCTTTAAATTCACCAACCTCACTCTTGAAGTATCCATCTCCACGCTAGGATACTAAAGTAGTAGAGCATGCGCTGGCCGTCTCTGGCGACTGCAGATAACGAATGATGAATTTTTTGATGGGAGAGACAAAGTGGATGGAGAAGATGCGGAGACAGTGGAACTAACGACGAAGGATACTCGGCCCGATTATCGGTCGTCCCGATGCCGTTAGCCGTCCCTGCCATGTCCTTCATCCCTTCTTGCAAAGTATGCAGTAGTAAAAGTTTATAGTACTACTGCACATGCGTTAAAAATGCTGTCGTCTCACTCGGGAGTATGTGTGCTTACCAGCGAGGGTATAGAAAGAGATTTAAGAGCGGTGATTGGTCTTACCTATCTGCAGCTTCATAGAATAATATATTCTGCACGGCGTCATGTTTGCAACATACATAGTCGTTTTTAGAAGGCATCGTCCTCTTATCTTCTACATAGCCTCAAGTATCTTTATACTACAAGTAGATTTTCCCAAGTATAATGCAGAGACTATCAAGAACCTAGATTCCCGCTTGACCGAAGCCCACAAGGTACCGTACCGCGATGGGGGGGTATGCGACGGAAGACTTCGGGCTACCTCCTGCAGGCCTTATAATCAGGCGGACCCCCTAATCAAGTAGAGTCGTATTTCCCGCTTAGAACCAAGGCAACTTCTTAAAAAGAGATACTTGGAACTTTAGGGCTGGCTTAGAATTTCAAGTCCGCCCTAAGTCCACCCTAAGTCCACGCTAAGTCTACTCTAAGTCCACCCCAAGTCCACCCTAAGTATTTCCTAGAAAACCTACTAAAAAGGTAAAAAGTAAAAAGAAAATCTAGCGCAGGCTCGAACCTAGGACCTTAGAGAGGGGGGAGAAGAAGAGGGGAGGTATTTAATATATATATATATTTACTATTTCTATAAATATAATTAACTTTTTAAATTTTTAATTCTTTTACTACTAATACTATCTATTCTACTTTAGGTAATAAGTACGCTATTAAAGAGGAAGATTTCTATATAATTAGAAAGTTAGAAAATAAAAGTCTTTAGATAGTTTAGATTTATAGTTAATACTCTTAGAACTAAGAAATTCTTAGAGAAATTCTTAAAAGAAGAAAATACTTAGAGTAGACTTAGGGTAGACTTAGGGTAGACTTAGAGAAATTTTTAACTTAGAATTTTAAGTATTTTCTTATTTCTAGTAAAACTTACTAAGAATACTTTCTTACTATTACCTTCTCTAGAAGTACTATTTTTAAAGAAGGGTCTTTTTACTCTAAGAGTATATAGAGATACTATATTAAATAGAATCCTTTTAAGTTAGTAGTAAGGGTTACCGTGCTAAGAGTAGGCACCTAGTGCCGCTAAAGTCTTTCGTTGCTAACCCCCCGATCGCCGTACGGTACGAATTACGCATGCCCCACTCCATCAAGCCCCGCCGTCCCACCTTTCCATGAATTCGTATTCGTATTTGGGTTTTCGTTCACCATCCTTAAACCAGCAGGCAAGGCTAAATGTATCCGCCTGCCGTAAAATTATGGGATATTTACAAACAAAATTTCACAGACCTTCAATCCGTTGTGGTCTAGGGGCTAGGATTTGCCGCTCTCATCGAGAGTCCTCACACTTGATCAAGTGCCGGCAAGGCCCGGGTTCGATTCCCGGCGACGGAAGATTTCTTTTTGCTAATTTTTGCTCATTGGAGGCTTCCAGAAGTGAGTCAATCTGGCTTAGATTGGATAGAGCGCTTGAAGAATACTGTGATATCTTTTTTAGCGTAAACACGCCGTAGTGCGGAAGGAGCCGAGGAATTAGGTGACCACAGTGCCATGCTACTCTTTGATAGAGATATCTATTTTGCTTCATACTCGGGGCTCCTGGCCGGTTCTTAATGAAGTGGACAGGACAGGATAGCTAGAGAAGAGCTGATGGCTATATGGTGTTGGATGCATTATCGTTTAGAGACTATGTCTGCCTCATCTACCATAACTTAGCCACGGCCGTATTCTCCGAATGGAGGAACCTTAGATATGTCTAGCATCTGGAACTCTTCTACTCCAAGCTTCGCCGCAAAACGGGACTGGGTTATCTCTGCAATGAGTGAGGGTGCTCGCTGGGTTTCGCAGGAGAAGTGCAAGCTTTGCTTGTTGTTGATGGCTTGAGTAGATGTGTATCACATTTAATCGCAAGCTCTCTAAGGATACCAATAGATTTTAAGGAGCTAAATACTCAGGAGACAATACCACCAGAGAGATATATCGCAATCCAACCTTTTGAACCTTTTTACCACCTCGAATGACTCACTCAACGCATCTCCATACATTTGTAAAGAAGTAGCAACTCCAAACAAGATAAATGGGATGAACCACTATGGTATCATGACCTATCCAGCTACTCCTACCATCCCAGTCCCACTATCCATAAGCTGTGAAGCCAACGCTCCACCTATATAAGAGAAGACAGAAAGTGAGCAGAGTGCCCTTCGAACCAAGCAGCACAATATACTTGCCCATGAAGAGGAGACCAGTACAGAACAAGTGCAGAAAACGGCTCGGTACGCCGTTCACCAGAACTCCGACGTTGCCAAACCAATGACCCAAAAGAAGCGTGCTTGAGCAAACACAGAAGTGAGTAGATAACAGGTCGTAGCCAAAGAAAGCGTTGGTAGTGTTGTTAAGCCATCCAGCCGAAACCCGGTGGGATTCCGCGAATAGCCGCCTTCCGACCCTCATCGTCGTATCTGCTACATAGGTGGCCCTCCACCCTAATGACCCGGATCTTGAGACCTCGAGTGGGACGAGAAAAGAAAAGGGGAATAGAACAAATTTAAGGAATCTCGTCGCTTCGGTATCGCTCCCCGCGCTCATCAAATCATCGACTCATCAAAATCCTACTGCAAGCTGCCCCAGACGTTGCGTGGACAATATCCTGAATCAGAGACTCGTGCTTTGCCCATTCCAACGTAGAATAAGAGGATAAAAGAAACCGTGCAGACAGTAGAGTTTACCGCATAGCAGTCACGCTAAGCGTCAGCTTGGGATTCCGTTCGACCGCAATTGCCAAATCTTCGTCACTCTCGATTGGATAGAAGCGCTCTTCTCTCTCATCTCGGTATTCCACAACCAACTCCTCAGAACTACCTTCATCAGGTCGTTCTAGTGCTCTCCTTTCTTGCAGTTTCTTGTACAAGTCATTGTACCGGAACGACTGTGGCATACGGATGACCACGCAGTTGTCTTCTTCGAACCACACTTTGATTTTGAGTGCCGCACTCGCACTCGCACTCGCCGAGGTCGCTGAATTCTGCGTTAGAGAGGACGTTTGGCGGAGCATTGGTGGCGCGAGGTCCGATGTAGTCCGATAATGTTGCGGATTTTGAAGTTGCTGGCCCGACATAGACGCCTGTCCCCGTTGGTGATTGGCCTGGGATGGATAATTCGACGAGTTTGGGTACGCAGCTTGCGGGTTTTGGGATGGAAGATGGTCAGCGGAAGACTCCCGTGAAGCCCCCTGGGATGGATCGGAAGAATGCTGCGAGCTTTGGGACATGCGGTACTCTTCTGCAGCGATTACATCCGGGTCAATTTCGTAGTCTCCCTGGCGAGGGGCGAAAAACGTCTTGACAAGCGTCCCTTGTGTGATGTGAGACCCCAGCTTGAGGAGATTCTTTATGTACTCGTCCAAATTTGCGCGGCGGCCGTTTGAAATATTGTCGGTGACGTAAGTGACTGGGCCAGGCATGAAGGGTAGAGTTCGGTCGACGCTCCCCGATGTGCCAGCCTCCACTGGGAAAGCAGCGATCAGCTGGATTTGAAGGTCGTAGAAGTCCTGGTAGAGACGCTGCAGTTCCCAGTGCCTCCCGTCTTCCATCTGGCACTCAATAATGAACCAGAAGATGTCGTCTGCGAAACAGTAACGAGGGACACATGCTTTGACGGGGGCCAGAAGGTTAGGGTCGGACCCCCGATACTGCGGCTGGTTTTGATATGCGCTAGCGCTCCGAGAATGTGTTCCAGTCTAGAACCGTGGTCAGCTTTGGTAGGGATGGGATTTTACGCGCGCAACTTACACTAGGAGTGACTTGGCCATTGCTGTCGTAGCCGGCCTGGTTCTTGCTTCCCAGGCTCATCCGCTCCATGCCTTGCTGTAGCGATTGAGCGGAATTGGACTCGAGCTTCCCAAGCGGAATGCTGCCGTTTTTGTAGTCGGCGGCCATCTTCTTCCACTCTTCAACCTTGGGTACCCCAGCCCTTTGAACAGCTTCCTGAGCGTCAGGGACGGCTTGTCCGGTCGTCATATCTCGTATTTCAATAAAGGACACCGGGATCAAGCCGGGACCACCCAGGCGGGTGATGGGCTTCGCAACGAACCATTCCGGGTTGGATTGCGCAATGACTATGATGGCTTCCCCCTCCTTGGCCTCCAGCTCGTCGGGCCGCTCGGCCTTGAAGTCGTACATCACGATGCCGTACACCATGGCCCCCGCTCCCGCCCCTCCCTTCCCCAGTGCCTTGGACATGCGCATCGGCTTCGGCCCGTCGGTGTCGAGAATGGCCACGCCGGGAGCAGCGGGCGTCTTTTCGGCGTATCCGGAGTCGTGGCCGGCGCTGGGCTGGCTGGAGGGGATGGATTTGGTCGAGCTGCCACTGTCCCGCACCGTCTTGCCTACCAGCTCAAAGTATGTCACGGGCACGAGGCCACGGGTGTTCTGCAGCGGGTTGCAGGCCTCGTACCAGTCGGAATCGTTCTCGCGGCCGACGACGTGCAGGAAATCGCCCTGGGAGAAGCCCAGGTAGCCGGACGTCGGGCTCGAGTCGGGCGGTGTGTAGTCGTAGAGGGCTTTGATGACCTACAGCACCAGGCAGACGTCAGCAGGAGTCGCGAGGCGCAATGGCAGGCGCAGGCGTAGGCGCAAGGCGGGGCAGGTGGATTTTGCGACAACGCTAGAACCTTGGAACTCACCTTCTTGGGCGGCACGATGGCGATTGCGTCCTTGGTCGGAATGGAGATGTGGTGCGGCTTGCTGTCGGCCTTGTCGCCCTTCATGGATCTTCGAAACTGCGGCCGACTCAGCACGCTGGCGCGCACGTGGGGGAGCGGGCTAGGCCCGGGGGCAAACATACCTTCACCATAGCGGTCCGGTGGGCGCGGCGGCGGCGGGCACAGCGATGGAAGCAGGGCGGCGCGGTCTAGGGATAGGGATAGGGGAGTTGCGCGATGCGTCGTGGTGTTGTATCAAGGACGAGCTGGGTGGTGTAGGGCGAGTTGGGCGTGGTGAGGCGCGGCTGTGACTGCCAGCCAGGATGAAAAGCTACCTAGGTAAGATTGGCGTGCTTGGGCCGCAAAGGCAGCAAGCCGTGGAGATGAGCGTCTTTGGGGACTAGGCAACGGACGGGCAGCGGATGGCGGATGGCGTCAGATGCGATGAAGCTATGAAGGCTGCTGGGAAAACGGCCTTCTCTGCACGGCGTAGCTTGTAGTCCTCTGTCGGCGTCAGAAATGAAGGGCGGAGTCTGCGCCGGCCCTTGCAGACAACCCTTGAAAGCGCAGGCGGGACGCTGGGCAGCCACTCCTAGACTAGCCCAGCGGTGCTCTTTGTCTCTGCGCGCGCCGGAGGGTTGGCCTGCCACGGCGATGCTGTGCCTGGATGGGTGGGGACACCCTTCCTGGCGGCGAGAGCTGCGCACTTTGGAACTACGGCGTGGCGGGTGCTACGGGCGATAGTTGCGATTGTGGCCAGCGACATCTAAAGTCGTGTTGTTGTCGGACACGGTGAAAGGTAGGACGTCACGGCGGGAGAGAATCGGAAGCAGAGGGCGGCACAGCAAGAGGGATTCACAGCGAGAGGGCATCACAGCGAGAGAACCTCACAGTGAGGGGTCACGGCGAAAGGGCGCCACAGCGAGAGGAGTCACGGCGCAGACAGTTCAGCTCGAACGACATGAGGCTATTTGCTTCTGAGTCTGCTATCTAGCCGCTGTGCCAACACCATCCGGATTCCTGACATGCGGCGAGCAGCGGTTCCGCGTGCGACTCCCCGGGAACCACCACGCTGCGGGCAGGGAATCGACACGCTGCGACGCGCCAGCCTTGACGCGCGGGCGGCTAGGCCATAAGCTGAGCCGGCAGGCCATGCTAGACACCCGTCCCGTTGCACCACACGAGCCTGTCATCGCACTAAGCCTGCCATCACCACTATGTATTGAACCCTAAGATGCCCCTTCAGCCCTAGCAGCGCTGCCATCCTAAAGCTAACATCCCTTCGCAGCCCCGACGAATCACCGTCGCCCAAGCCCAATTCAACTTTCTATTGGTCACCACTCCCTCCCCCAGCCTTTGTCCACCGCGCAAGCAGGACGAGTGTGCCGACAGCTGCACCGCAGAAGCAAAGACTTGTCGCCGAGAAGAAAACAGACCGCCGAAACCCAACCCCACCCAGCTAGCCATGCAAACAAAAGGGGAGTTGTGCCAGGGGAGTTGTGCCAGGAGAGTTGTGCCATGGGAGTTGTGCCAGGGGAATTGTGCCGAATTAAAGATCAGAAAACGCATACCGTAGATTTGTCACTCGTGTCAGTGCAAGGGTACAATCGACCCACGAGGACGGCACTGAGCCTTGAGACAAAGAACCGTCCGTTCGGTCCTCGTCGCCCAAATCGACTTGTAGACTCAGCCA